GAAGAAGAAGAAGAAGAAGAAGAAGAAGAAGAAGAAGAAGAAGAAGAAGAAGAAGAAGAAGAAGAAATATACAAAAAGGATTATTTTCCAGGAAACGTAAACTATGAGTGAGATTTATGCACACTAAGGGCAGCTCTGACTCTGATGAAGCCTATGAGTTCCTTTCTATAGTACCAGGTTTTCATTAAGGTCTAGCAATCACATTTCCTTCTATAGCTTCTTGAGCAAAAATAAACCTCCAAATCTTCACAAAACACTTCTATTCCTAGTATATGGAAATAAACAACAAGGAAGAAAGAAAGGAAAGAAGGAAGGAAGGAAAGAGAAAATTTAAGTTTGAAAAAGAACAAACAGCAGACGATATTAAAAATCAAAAATCTGACCTGTCCTTGAATGGTTTCTGCAATGACATTACTGGCAGAAGCTTCCAATTCTCCATTGAACTGGTCACCCAGCATTCGAAGGCGGCCAGCAATAATAGACACATCAAAAGAGCAAGCCTCTCCTAAGACAAAGAAAATACTTTCACCATGCTTGAAGGAATTGGAAGTCTCCTAAATCTTGACAAAAGAGAAATGTTCTTAAGTCTTATTTTTTGGTTTGTTAAGACAGGGTTTCTCTGTGTGGCCCTGGATGTCCTGGAACTCACTCTGTAGACCAGGCTGCCCTCAGTTACATTCTCAAGTTTTTAAAACAGTTTTGGCATTGTTTGTTCTCAGTAGTTGCAGTCAGACAATCTTCTTTATTGAGAAGCCTTTTAAAACTTAAGAGGAAACAGAGAAAGCATGTTCTGACTCCACTACCCACCTGTGCTCCTTACCTGAGTATGGTTCGTCTGAATCCTGTAGATTCCGGCTAGCAACCTGTAATGTTGGGGTCAAAAAGTCCATGAGTAGAGCATTCATGACACATTCTGTTTGCTCCTCAAAAGTCTGGGGGTTTTTCATTTTAGACATTTTCCACAAACAAGTGGTTTTCTGCTCAGCAGAAGGTTAGAGAACCTGGCAAACCAGTTGTGCCTGCCTGCCTCTTATTGGTTCCTAACTGGGTATGTCCTAGAATCGTTCCCACTAACTTTTTTTTTTCAAGAGTAATTGCTTAAAAAGGTACAAATTCTCTCAAGAGAAAGAATTTTCAGTTCCGTATCTCTGAACCACACCCTCGTCAGAACATAAGATTAATGAATAGCTTTTATAGATAAACAATCTATAACTAAAATAGAATTGAGGAAGATTCTCTTGAGCAAGTTTCTTAAGAAATACTTCCTGGAGCTGACAGGCACCAATGGCCACCTCTGTGCTGGCGGACTTCATCCTTCACACCTGCAGATTGCCTCCCTACCAGGGGCCCTTGTCCTCACACTGCTTCTGCAGAAGGTTTCAACACTAAACTTGCACAATGCCTTTAAAACTAAGAGTAGTGGATTTTGATGAAACATGGAACAACTTCCTAACTTCAGTCAAAGCTGTTTCTATGCGGGAATATGTTGAGAGAGTAGCGTGGAATGATTGTTCCTCAGATATCTATGCTTTATGTGTGGCCTATCCTGAATCACTTGGAGAAAGGCTTTATGCAGAAACAAAGTTTTTTTTTTTTTTTTAAATCATGTTGGGCACTTGCATAAGAGAGTTCTGGAGTCAGCAAAGGGGGTGACTGACAATGAAGTGGAGGACAAACTCACCAATTTCATCACTGTTTTCAAATACATTGATGAAAAAGATATTTTTCAGAAGTTCTATGCAAGAATGCTAGCAAAATGTCTAATTCATGGGTTGTCTATGTCAATGGATTCTGAAGAAGCCATGATCAATAAATTAAAGCAAGCCTGTTATGAATTTACCAGGAAACTGTATCAGAGGTACACAGACATGAGTCTCAGTGCTGATCTCAACAATTTCATCAGAAACCAAGACACAGGGAAGATTAGGGGATTAGTTTCCAAATATATGTCCTTCAGGCTGGTGCATGGCCTCTCACTCAGGCTCCTTCATCCACATTTGCAATTCCCCAAGACTTAGAAAAAAGTGTACAGATTACTTTACAGTCAGCATTTCAGTGGAAGGAAACTAGCATGGTTACATTATCTCTGTACAGGCGAAGTTAAAATGATTTGGGAAAACTACATGTAGCTATGGTTACAGCCTACCAAATGGCAGTTCTTCTTGCCTTTAACAATAGTGAAACTGTCAGCTACAAAGAACTTCAAGACAAGCTGAGCTTTGGTGGTGCATGTCTTTAATCCTAGCACTTAGGAGGCAGAGGCAGGCGGATCTCTGTGAGTTTGAGGCCAGCCTGGTCTCCAGAGTGAGTGCCAGGATAGGCTCCAAAGCTACACCGAGAAACCCTGTTTCGAAAAACAAAAAAACAACAAAACAAAAAAAGAACTTCAAGACAGCACCCAGATGAACAAAAAAGAGCTGACCAAAATGATCAAATCATTACTTGATGTAAAAATGATTAACCATGATTCAGAAAAGGAAAACACTTTTGATGCAAAAATCTTCCTTTTCATTAAATATGAGCTTCAGCATTATGAGAACAAAATTTTAAATTATTTCATCAATGAAGGATATACCACAGGAACTAGAACAGCCTAGAAGTGCTGTACCTCCAAACTGCTGTCATCCACATCATGAAAGCACACAAGGTGCTTTGTCACAATGCCCTCATTCCAGACGTAACCAGTCAGTCAAGAACCAGGTTCAATCCCAGTATCAGCATGATTAAAAAGTGCTGGTAGACAAACAGTACACTGAGCAAAGAAGAACATCTTCAGAAGAATACAGTTATACCACATGACAGCCTCTCCTGATGTGGGTGTTGAATTATTGGCATCACCATTTGATATGCTCCTGTGGGGAAAAGGCCTATGCCTCCATACTTTGGTCATTTGGCAGCCCCTGTTTTTCTGCTGTTTACATCGTCACCAGTGCCACATCATGAGTATCAAAGTGAATGTGTAGAGCTATTTCAAGTTCATGTCATTATGATTGTTTCCTAAAACAATATTTAAGAACTAGTGAAGTATTGCTGAATTGTAGAATTTGGTTGGGTACCATGTTTTCTCCCCTTTACGTTTGCAGTTGATGTGTTTTTGTTTTGTTTTTTAAATATCTTAAAGGACATAAAATAAAAACTTAAATATCATAACATGACAATAACCTAATAATTGTATGTACATTAAAATGACAAACATGATGTTGCTGCTTGTCAAATAAAAAAAAGAAAGAAACAGATGCCTTTTTCCTTTCTTTGAGATTTATTTATTTATTGTGTATATAATGTTCTGCCTGCATGCCAGAAGAGGGCACCAGATCTCATTATAGATGCCTGAGAGCTACCACTGTGGTTGCTGGGAATTGAATTTAGGACCTCTGGAAGAGCAGAGAATGGTCTTAACTGTGGAGCTATCTTTCCAGCTCCCAGACTGCCTCCTCTTCCTCCTCCTCCTTCATTTAAAAACAATCTTATTTTACATATCAATTTCAGTTCTCTCTCCCTCCCATCCTCCCATGGCCCCCACCGACCCCCTCATCCTACCCTCCATCCACTCCCCAGGTAGGGTGAGGCCTTCCATGGGGAATCATCAAAGTCTATCACATCATTTGGGGGAGGGCCTAGGCTCTCCCCCATGTATATACAGAATGTTTTTTTTTCTTAAAAAAAAAAAGGCGGGGGGGGGAGGAAGAAAGAAAAGAGAAAAAGAAGAAAAAGCAGAAATACTTCCTGTTACGTTCTGTATCTGATATAATTTAGAAGGAGGTTTTTAAAGCTATGAAAGACCAGCATTCAAATGACAGCTATTGACAAGTCACATAGCTTCTTGTACTCTTGAGATAAAGTAGACTAGGACAGTATAAAAGTGAAGCTAAGCTTGGGGCCTGGGAAGGGTTCCTTACAGTAGTAACTAACATCGGGGGTTAGTTCTAAAGGATAATAGGGATTCGTTAGGCAAAAATAAAGAAAGAAAGAAGACTGATGTGGAAGGATGACAAATATAAAGGTCAGGAAAGTGGAGAAAAAAATACCTGCTTAGGTGTTTGAAGAATCAGAGTAATAACAAAATATTTCAAAGAGGAATTATATGAATTAAGATAGCATTATGTGAAAAAAAAAAGAGATAGCATTATGTGAAGTGATGTGGCACTATCTGGTATGTGGTAAATGTTAAACATCCTCTGTTTGGCCCAGAGATTCATTCCTTAACAGTAAGTTTGTCCTGAAAGATTAAACTTCATTATTGTTTTAGAAGATCTCAGGATTAAATACTCACCTGTAGTGGCTGCCTACCTGTCTTTTTTGTGAGCCTTGGCCTTTAATGACTGAGCCATCTCTCCAGCTAGCCTAGGCTGCCTTCTACATGCAGCTAACTCCAAATTTGAGGTCTGGGTCTCAGATGTATCATTCAAACGTACCTACAGACCTAACACCTAAATTTGTCTTTCCCAGTGAAATTAACAGCTTCAACTGTAACAATACGAGATTCAAGCATAAACAGTAGGCCAGTTATTCAGAATGGGATTTCTAGCCTACAAAATAATCATATATTTTATTTTCTTGCCATTCTAAAACTAAATAAATAATACACACCTATTAGACTGGCCAAAATCCAGAATGGGGCACCACCAAATGTTGGAGAGGATGTAAAATGATAGGAACTCTTATTCATTAATTGTGGGAATGTGAAATGGTATAGATACTTTAGAAGACAGTTTGGCAATTTTTTTAAAAGATTTTATTTATTTATTATGTATACAACATTCTGCTTCCATGTATAATTGCACTCCAGAAGAGGGCACCATATCTCATTACAGATGGTTGTGAGCCACCATGTGGCTTCTGGGAATTGAACTCAGGACCTCTGGAAGAGCAGTCGGTGCTCTTAACTTTTGAGCCATCTCTCCAGCCCAAGTTTGGCAATTTTTTTTAAGGAAAAAAAAAAAGGACTGGAGAGATGGCTTAGGGGTTAAGAGCACTGACTGTTCTTCCAGAGGTCCTGAGTTCAATTCCCAGCAGCCACATGGTGGCTCACAACCATCTGTAATGAGATCCGGTGCCCTCTTCTGGCATGCATTGTATACAAGATAAATAAATAAATCTAAAAAAAAAAAAAAAGAAAAGAAAAGAAAGAAAGAGAAAAGCCACATTTTATTGCCATACAATATAGGAACTTTTAACTAAAGAAATGAAGATTTATGTGCTCCCCAAAACCCGCTTGTGAATGTTTATGAAAGGTTTGCTTATTTTTGAGGTAGGTTCTCATGTAGCCTGGGTTGGCCTCTAATATACTATGCAACCAACAATTACCTTTTTCTTTCATCCTAATGCCTCTACCTCCCAAATGCCAGAATTGTGTGTCTACCACCATATATGGTTTATGTGGTGGGAAGCCGCCCAGAGCTTCATGCATATAGGCCAGCACTCTACCAACCGAGTTACATCCCCAGCCCCGTTTATGGAAGCTTCAGTGGAGGAATGAGTAAAACAACTTCAATATTATTCAGCACTAAAATGATAAGCTAATTGTCTATGAAAAGAAAGATGAAATTTAAATAACTGAATTTTGCTCCATAATTGATGAGGTAAGTTCAGCAATTATAACAAATGTTCCACTCTGCCTGGGCCCTCCCACATCAATCATTAACGAAGAAACTAACCCACAGACATGCCCATAAGTCAATCTGACAGAGGTAATCCCTCTCTTAAAGTTTCCTTTTTTCAGACGACTCTAGTTTGTACCAAGTTGACAAAAACTAACCAAAACTATAGGCTAAAAGGGCCAGCCAAAGAAACCCACTTTAGCCCTGACACCAGAGCCAACTATGCCCCTGATCAACTGAAACACAAAACCAACCAATCCCGGAGCACCCTGACTCTGAACTCTGAGCCAGTGAAAGAAACACACCCAGAATCTGAAACCAGAGCCAGCGAAATAAACACTTAATTCCTGAACCCAGAACCAAAGAAAACCACCCTGACTCTGAAACCAGTGTCCCTAGAATCAGAGCCAGTGAAAGAAATACACCCTGGCCCTAAAATTAGAGCCAAAAGGCTAAAATGGAC